AATAAATAAGGTTAATAGGTATGATGTTGTTAAGCAGGTGTAAGTTAATTCAATGTATATCACTACCGATTATGCAAAATGTACATTTATATATAAAATGAATTAGCTGTATGAATAATACTAACATTTATTCAATTGATAGACCCATATGGTTATATTATGAAGCTTATGAATTATAGAAATCCTATTTCTAGGATGAATTCAATATTTCTTGTGTTTGTTTTGTTTTTGTTTTTTTTCACAATCAAAAAAGAATGCATATGCATATGCAAAAACTACTTAACTCTAACAAATGAGATCCAATTATACACATATTTTCTTAATCTCTTGTTTTCTCTCTCTCTCTCTCTTTCTGTTTAAATAAACATTGATTTGCTTCCATTTAAAAGATCGTCTCTATTTATTTTAAACTATAAAAAATAATAATAAATAGTTCTTTATTATTTAATTATCAATCTGTTCAAATTTCATTTTGATTAATTTACCCAATAAAATTAAAAAGGAAATTATTTAAAATTATATGTAACTATGACAACAAATAAACATTATAATCTATAAGTAGCTTAGATATTAGAAGAGATGTTTGTTTAAATTAAAACTATTGATTCATAATATGAAGATTGATCAAAATTTCGATTATGATAGATTTTATTAAAAGTAGAATAGAAGTGATCTGGGTAAATAATCAATATATATGTGAAGATTGGTTCATTTCTTATAATTTAAGTGTGTTTTATTGTTGTTGGAGGAACTGTTAGCTTAATCAATATTAAGACACAATTCCTTGAGTGTAATAATCATTGAAGAATCTTAGATAAGATTCATTAAAAACCTTTATGACTACAAGCTTATAATATTTGTTTTTTTATGATCTGTTGATATAAATATCTACACGATCGAATTCTTGTGATCATTTTGATCAAATTTTTTAACATAGACGAATACCAGCCAGATGAAAGATTTATGTTTATCGGATGTCGTTAAATAGTTTGTAATAAAGGTTTCTTATTAACAAATGTCAAATGACATGAAACCTGTACGTATGGCTTCCTCCCATATATCTCCAACCAATTTACATTTAAAAAATGACACTACAATGTAATCATATAACCTAGCTACTACATTTTAAGTTGACTGAAAGATTTTGATTGTCACTAAGTGTCATACACAATATTATTGGTCATTACTAAGTTGCAAGTTTGTGTAAATAAATTATCTCTGTAGAAGGTCAATCAAATGGAAATATCTCTGTGAAGTTGAATGACATAGTTTCGAATTACATGACAACCATCAGTTATTTTGAGAGTACAGATGTCTGATTGAAAAGTTCCAAGTAGAACGATAAGTTGGTTGTTAGGCTACTTTATCCAGCCACTAAAGATAGAAACAAATTATTCAAACCAAGTTGTTTGTACATGCAAATATAACAGTCTATCAGCACTGGGAATCATATCGGTATTTATTTTATCACCTATAAATAATCATCAGATAATTGGCTTGAAGGTATCATATAGTATTCTCTTTAACTGTTTTTGAAAAGAATCATATTTTTAAGTGTCAACCCCTGTTAATTTTAGATTGTTTTACCTTTCTTTTGTGTTATACTCTTCAATAACTTCTAACACAATCCCTTCCTTTAATAAAAGAGAATTAGTAACATTTAATGGACTATTATAAAAAATATCGTAAAAAGTGCAGACAAGAAACGATGTATTTGTTTATATTAATTGATAAAGGTCGATATTTATAAAATTCTTAACTTCCACTTTATAGATGATGTTTACCATTCATGTGTAGATATGCATCTAGTTTTAAAAGTTTCAGATGCTTTTTTTCTAAATTAAAAATATTTGATCTGTGAAGTAAACAAACGAAATCTCAAAAAAGCAAGCCCCACATAGTGCCTGGTTTTTACTAAACAAGTAGAATCACGATAAGAGGTAATTATATTAAGCAAAAATGGACAGTGGCTAGTAGTGAAATCCAGGACACGTGTTTTGTCCTATTTGAGACTCGTCAGATGGATGTACCTGCATCTCAGAGTTGATGTTCACTCCAGGATTCAAGCCCATCACGTTATCCACTTAGCTACCGAATCCTGATAGTCACTTGCTTGTGCAATCACCAAAAGGTAATTATAATTTCTCCTTATTTAAGATTACGTTTTATAGGGTTTTTTCCAAATTAATTTCTCCAACCCAAATGATTGCTCTGGAATTAATTTTCACAATCCATTTTTTGCGTAGTTCAATTAAGTCTCTTTAGGGTTTACATGAAGATTATGATTGAACCTAGAGGGAAACTTTTGGTTATTGAGAAAAAATAAGAGATATTTTGATGAATGAACTGGTTGCACTACTGAATATCCTAACAAGCCAAACTGTCTCATGTACAATGACTTCTAATTAAGTCACAGGAGAGTAATTAACATACAGTAAATAATCTGGTTTAAACTACGGTTTTGTGGAATTCTTTCACAAATGTGACCAATATTTTGCTGATGATTACATTTAAATTTTTTACTTAGGCGGAAATATATCATTAAATGCATATATACGCAAAAATGGAATAGCGAAATAAAAATAAGTTAGTTATAGAACTTGTTTGAACATCCAATAGCATATGCCCCTTCAAGAAGCAAAACAATTTCACGAATTTATGACATTTAGGATTATGATAAAGGTATTAAGTTTCGTTAAGTCTTTGTTTATTCGCTGTTCATTGAATGCTAACAATCTTTACAATAATTTATTACCATAAACTATGAATTATTAAACTGTTCAAATTCATTTCAGGATTTAATTAGCTTTAAATGTTTCAGAATACTAGAGAAAACGAATTCAGATAAATGCTGTATGCATTTGGCTTAAGCTCTGTAATACTAATCCAGAATTAGGAACTTTTTCATCATAAACGATATCCCGTGTGCGGAATCGTGGATGCGTACTGATGAGGAGCCCCATGCTAGCACGAAATGGCCATCCAGTGCTTCTAAGTTCTCATTGATGGTCTAGCTTATATCGACTAGTAAATCCAACTGTTAAGAGGCTACAATCTCCATAAATCCCCATGCAGATTTATTTCTATATGTTCATACAATAGGCTAAATGATTCTAAATCATATATTAAGCCTGCTATTTCCACAAAACATCACAGTAACGAATCAATTTAAGATATAATTCTACTTTATCAAACTAAAATTCGAAGAAAAAAATCAATTATTCCTTTCAAAAGCATCAATAAAATCCCAACAGGTAGAGGAGAGATGAGTAAGTAAATAAGCCGTACGATGAATCAAAATCGAAGTTGACATTCATCATAACTATAACTTCAACAATTTACGTCACTCATCGGTTCATTTTATTATTACGATATCATTTCATTGTCTAATATTATTGACAGTTTGAGGTTGTGAAGATTGTTTTATTTCACTGAAACCATGAACTGATCAATATCAGACCAACATTGGAAACCGGGAAGTAATTACCGGCCCTTTTTTCCTAATACAGAACTCCTCAGTAATGCCCATCCACAATCCCGCAAGTGGGATTTAAACCCAACATCTTTGGTTTCACGCGCGAACGTTAAACTTTTAAACCACTGAGCTGGCATCGAACTTTATTAATGTCTAACTTCAACCACTCCACAATGTTGAGAGGCCATCTCTCATCCAACATGGTTGAACTCTAATAGTCATGGCTTCTCAAGATTTCAAAGTAATATTATTTAATTGAAAAATGTGAACTAAATCAAATCAAAAATCATTCTTATTGTTAAAATTTAGAATCAAATCTTATCAATAGCATTCTACGTCATTGTATGATATATTTAACAAGAAAATAAACTATTTATTTAAAACAAAAATAAGAAATTGACATTTAAGATTGGTATTTATGGGAAATTAATGTGTATTGTATCCTTTTTCAATATTCTGTTCATCTTATAAAACGTAAGGGGTATAAGTCTTTAAAAGTGACTTCGTTATAAGAAGGATTTACGAGAATAAATGTTATTTGTGTATTATAAAACCAAATGTGTATATAACATGTTTACATATAAACAATGGAAAAGTTGAGCAGTAAAAAACTTACCATTATCACAGTGGAACTATGTTCTTATTCAATAGTAAAATCTATTATGAAATAGTTATTTATCGCAAAACTGACCTACTATTTGAAATTGACTGAGTTTTTAAAGCTTAAAGATTCAGTCACTTCAATTGCCTACAACGATTGTATAGAACATTAAGACTATAGTATAACCATGTTACAACGACTAATGAATTAATGAGTCTTGAGGTAGGAAATTTGTAAATAAGCTATTTTTTAATTCGGATAGCTTTAAATGAGAAAAATCTACAGACAGCACTATTAAGATGTCAAATCGCAATCAATGTACTTTTCTATTAACTATTAATCTATATACTATTACTAGCAGATTAATTAGTTAACTGCTTTAATTCATTAATATAGCGTTGATATGATGCAACAAAATCCCCATATCTATTTAAATTGGAACTAATCAGTCAAGTAATTGGATTTGAAACCGTTTAGTAAATATACCTAAATGTCTATAAACTATTTAAACTACAATTAACTTGGTGAAGGGTGATTTATTGATTGAGACATTTGACTTTTGCCCTTCAATGTGTAAATTCTAATCTACTTGTATTTGAGTAGTTGAATAGTACCATAAACCGTTGCAATAAATATCCATGTCATAATTCAGCTATGTGCTTAATGAATTCAACTGAAACCAACTTAGTTGAATTCAGTAGGTTGTAGAAGAAGAAATAAATAAGAATATTACAATTGTTTCATGTTTATTATGCTTTTTTAAAAACATTACTTGTGTTATTCAGAAATTAGCAGCAATCATATCAAAATAATGAATTTCATATGAACACTTGATGTAATTTTAAGTCCTACATATTATTTGTAACTTTAAATTGATATGCATGAAACTAAAGAAAAATGATTATCATTAACATATAGACTTACTTGTTTTTTGACATGTGTAGTGATAATCATGACAACAATCTCCAGTAATGACACAACTTTCATCACAATAACAACGATCACGTGGACTTGAATGACCAGCTACACTACGATATTTCTTCCATGGATAATATCTAGATATTGAAGATTGTCCAGTTGATTTGTAAACAAAACATTTCTTCTCTCGACCGGCACAACATATAGACATTCCATTAGGTTGTAGGCATCCATTTGAAATAACTAATGAGATTTGATTGATTGTAATATAAAATAAAAATAATATGACCCAGTGAAAAAACTTCGAATTAAATTGAATATTTAATCGGTTTTGAACTGATCGAATCATTTTTTTTTGTTTATATATGAAAATGAGTATTTATAATTCACAAGATAGCAACAACAAGAAAATATTGAAAATATTGTAATGAATGAACTGGATTTCTAATGTCTAGTAATTATTTTTGTATAGTAGGAATTCTATAATAAGTTTTTGCTGCCTGTTATGTGCATATAATAAATAAGTTTTAACAAGTGGACATGTAGTCATGTATTTAAATAGTATTTTCAGGAGGAAAAACTACTGAGTTATATTTTTAATTTCAGGGTAGTTAAAAGAAAAATTCTTTTTTTTCTATTGACTGATAACCGTATCCAGGTCTTATATACTGGTGGCCTATCGACTCTACACTATTCCAATGTACTGTTGTCCCAATCTACAAATGTATGTATGTATGTATGTATATATGAAGCAATGCACAAGATCCGGTAATATGCAAACAAAATGCTTTTGGTTATATAAATATGCACACACTAAACATCCATTTGGTGCTCAGGCCTAGACATTGATAGAAATGATGCTAATGTTTGTACAATTTTGCACGTATGTAATCCGATTAACTTCCTCTATGCAACAGTATGATTGGTTAATTTCAATAGAAGTAGTGGGCGAAATACCTGACCTTCTCTTGACCCCATATAAATGACCATCCCAAAAGACCATAAAAACAACAAGGTTTTGATTACAGCAGACTAACAAAACAAATGAAAAGGGTTAAGGTCAATTGTTATTTTCAACACTTGGATGAAGTAACTTACACTAGCTGCTTCGGTCCAATGATTAGGACATTTGGTAAAAAAAAATATAGCATTAATCTGATAGATATATATGAGTGTATGAAAAAATGCATACAAATTGTATTTTTTACAGACACTGTCCTTAATATTGTACCATGACAAACAATGTAAACAGGAAGACTATGATCTACTGACTACTATTACATAACGGCATGTTTTACTGACTAGGAAGTTCTTTGTTTCCCTTATCGGCATTGAATTGGTTTATCAGTTAGTCAAATATGTAAATAAATAAAAAATGGTAAAAAACCGTGGACTATGGTATGATGACGAATAAATTTATTGTTGAAAGAAATTAATTTTAACGAGAAATAGAAATGAAAAGGAAAAGGACTGTTAAATTACTTCGATAGTACTATATGTACAGAAATATCCTGATGCAATAGGATATTTTTAGTACAGTTGAATAACACTGAAGAATGTGTTTTCAACAGTTATAGGCCTTGGTTTTCAGAGTATATAAGTTAGTTTTGTATTTCTTAAGGGACTTTATTAATGATTGTATTTTGTCTCGGAGAAGAATAGAAATACATATGAAAGTTAGGTGAATACAATTGATTAAATAGCTAGAAAATTAGCCAAGTAATATTATTCAAATCGACATTCCTTTGAAAACCATTGGATTCAAGTATCTACAATTTATGTTGACCAGAAACTAAATAAATGGTGATAATTCGGTTATTTATTTACCTTGAAAAAGTAGCTTACATAAAGTCACTAAACGTCAGAAATACAATTATTCTACTCATTGCGATATAACAAAAGCATATATTGATTATTTACTTTATACCCAATGCTCAATTTATTTAAAACTATCAAGTCTACCTTTGGTATAGGTACCTATAAATAAATTATGATAATTTCAACAGTCGAGATGATGAGTCAATTGAATCTAGACAACTATGGAAAAGCTGGAATCACTGGACGACCGTTTCGTCCCATTGTGGGACTCCTCAGCAGTGCGCATCCACGACCCCCCCTCGCGGGATTCGAACCCAGGACCTACCAGTCTCGCACCAGGCGTCTAACCAACTAGACCACTGAGCCGGCATCCAACGGTGTTAATGTGTAACTTCAACCAATCCATGAAATTGAGCGACACATCCACCATTGTCATCAGTGAGTTACTACCTCACACCTGACCCGGTTGTACTCCACTGGTCATTGTTTCTCATTAGAACTCCAGGATATACCTCTTGAAGCCAGTCACTAGTGAGCATATGTTGATTAGTATCAGAAGGGGTTTTGTGGAGATTGTAGTAATTTCAACAGTTGAGATCATGATAACTTCAGTAAACAAGGATGATACTGAGGATTTTTTACCTTCATCTGTGAAGTAATGAAATCATTAAAGGTATAGAAAAACAGTTTTACATCAGAATGAATTCATTAATAACTACAAATAAAGAAGTTGCTTTGTTTTCATACAAAGAACTTTCAAGCAATTCATATCTATGAATTATATGCTATTCATATAACAGTTTGGCTTTCTAATAATTTTCTTAATACATATATAAGTATTCATCTGAGTATTCTTTTTGTATTTTGTTAGCATGGATAATCTACCTATTTCTATAATATGTCAATACTATTTTATTCAAGTGTAATTCGTAATGTTTAATAATCGCTTTGCTTATTACACATTACCGACTTAAACTATAGTGTAAATATTATTTATAGTTACTTGTGATGATTTTGTAGGATCTTGAAATATACTCAGCTTCATATTTCAGAAGTAATAATATCAGTAAAGAAACCTTTACTAAGCTAAATAACTTGGTGAAGAATTTACTGTGTGCCGAAGGTATTATTCATCACTGACTACTATTAGCCAATTTCATGTTCGCTATATTCTTAAAATTACAGCTTTCAATCTCTTGTGTTATAAGTATGTACTGTCTAGAAGTTTCAGGCTAAAACAAAATACATTTAAATTGATCCATGAATTTTAGCAGTTATCCAGATAATGTTAATTCATGACGAAATTTGTCTTAAAAGGAAATCTTTGAAATATACTGATGAAAATATTTAACTTACTGCAACTTTAGCTTGAACTTCACAAATACCTCTAAAATTACAAAGTTCGAATACCTCCAATTCATATACAAAATTATATTGAAGGAACTCTTGTAGACTTTGCTCCATAGACGAATATTATTTAGATAATAATTACGTAACTAGTCTAAGACAGTAGGTAGATGACAACAATCAACAATGCAGATAGATTTAATTTTCCGTTCACCATTAACAACAGTTAAAAATCATTAAAACGTATTCACTTACACAATAGACATTGTTACTATATGATAATGAATAAGTATAATAACTTGGCAAATAAACAGTTGCTTAGTAATCTTCCAAGACATTCTGATCATTTTAAGTAACATTATAAATTTAAGAAAACCATTATTTTGTCTAAGTGATTTGAATTGAACTGGGGTATTTTACTTATTGAAATAAAACTGAAACGTTCAAAATATTATCAATGTATTGAACAATTGTATCTATAATCATTGTAAAGATTAAATGTTTTAAAGTGAGATGAGAATAGTTATATTTTACAGTTACTATTACTAATGAAATCAAGCAAAATCTAATGGACCACAATACTGAATTACAATCATTTAATCAATTAAATACTTGTTCACATGAATAATAAAATCACATGGCGGGATCGTGGATGCGCACTGCTGAAGAGTTCCATACTAGGACGAAACGGCTGTCCATTGCTTTCAGGTTTTCCATGGTGGTCTAGTTCCAATTGATTCATGAATTCAATGATAGAATCGTGTCAAGTACATTATTAGACTATATTTCCAAGCTTTCAACTAAAAATGTAAACATTAATAATTCCTTTACAAAAAACTATGTAAATTATTCCAAATACTTTGTTGACAAAAATTATTCGATAAAACTTAATTGTTATTTCATGTATTTTTAAATGTTAATTCATTATTGTTTATTCACTATACCATAAATGTATTTAAATGAAATGACTAATTAAAATAAATACTATCAAAAATATACTTAGGCTTCTAAATATCTTAAATGGAAGATAAAGTTTTACAGTGTTTCTTCGGATGTAATTTTTTTATCATTTTCTTGTTAACAGTAATGAGTGTGGTTCTAAGAAAGTTTACACTATGGACAAACTTGAACTATATAACTAAGAGCATAACTCTACAAAGCATTGGATTCAAGAGCAAGTACAATAAATCTTTAAAGAGATTAATCTAAATTGAATTTTTTACATTTCCATATTAATTCAGTTTACGATATTTCAGAATGAATTTAAAACAAAGCCTAGGCATCTGTCAAGTTCAGATTAGTTTATAATAGATCTCTACCTCAGTATTGGTTTGTGAAGATTATTAAGTTTTTTGATTGAGGTCATGAACCGATTGATGTTAGAGCACCATTAAAAACCTGGAAGCACTATACACCCGTTTCGTCCTCAGCAGTGTTCATCCACGATCCCGCCCGCGTGATTCAAACCCACCACCTTTAGTCTCACGTGCGAATGCTTAACCTCTAGACCACTGAGCCGGCATCCAACAGTGTTATTATCTAACCGTCCACTGCTTCCAAGTTTTCAGTGATGATCTAACATTATTCATTTCACGATCACAACCAAAAAGATCTCTACGTGGTTTTAATCTACAATACATACTAACTTGAAACCTTTGCATATACTAAAGAATCCCAAAATAGAACGATAAATAATTTTTCTTTAATGTTTGTTCATCTTTCATATTCAGACAATATAAAGTAATTTTTTACATGATACCAAAATCACTAATCCTTATATCCAATTCTTAACTTTGTTATATATATGAATCACATTATTCTGTTGTTGTTTTATAAAATAGATCTGAAGAATAAACAAACTATCATAAAACTACTTTGAACTGATACTACTTATTTAATTTTTTTTTAATTTTAAGTGTTTTAAATCAAAATAATAAATATTCAATTAAAACTAATAAATGATATTTTTATTCATATAATTTTGTATTTTACATTGCACAAAACCAATACTAAACCAGACTGTAAACTTTTGATGTGATAAAAAACCTAATCAAACTACAGATATAATAAGTAGTGAAATTATACTGTTAAGATTTTAGATTGTATTATTGAGTTAGTATACACAATTAAATTTACCACTCTCAGTTAGATTTGTTTAAAATTAACAAACAACATTGAAACATTGAATCTGTAGTCTGTTTGTTTAATTAAACTGCTATTTCATTGTTTATATAATTATATATATATATATTCCTTCTAATACTACTCTACTACTACTAACTATACTACTAAAGTAGTTTGATTTCATATTAAACTGTCCATAATCTTTTAATCATTTGTTAAGTGACTTAATAGTTACCTCCTGTTGCTCCACTGATTGTATGATAGATTGTTAGAACAATCAAAATTTGTTTATTTATAATTCAAAATAATCAGACATGTACAAGATTGTATTTATTATTCTTTATTTACTTTGATAAATGTAAAAAAATGTCGTCATACATAAAGAAAATTGTAGTCTTTACTTTAATGTTTGTCACTTTTAAATTGTGTTTGTTAAATTCAACAGTTTCAATTTTCTTAGCATCAAAACTATGTATGAATTTTTTAAAACAAAAAGATTCTTTTGCTTTCATTAAAATAAAATTTTATTCATTGGTTTAAATCGGATGTTTGTTTGACATTTGAGTCAAGTACATTTGACTATTGATTGTCCATAGTAAAAACATATAAATAATGTCAATAGTTGAAATCATGAGTCAATTGAAGCTAGACAACCATGGAAAACCTGGAAGTACTGGACGACCGTTTCGTCCTAGTATGGGACTACTCAGTACTAATGTTAATGAAGTTTTAAGATTTCGATTTCTTTTCCAACTGATAAAAAAATGATTAATATATAGCATTTTAAACTAATATCATAAATAGATCAATGTTAGACCAACATTGGAAACTTGAGACTATTCAGAAATGGACATTTCATGATCCTGCACGCAGGATTCGAAACCAGAATCTTCGGTCTCACGCGTAAATGTTTGACTTCTAGACCACTAAACCGGTATTCAATGGTGTTCAGGTCTAAGTTCAATAAATCTGCACATAACTTTAAGGTTCATTTTTGCAAACATGTATTATTAATTGAATATAATCAAGTTGTTACAACAATCATTACCAATAGTATACTTTATTAGTTACTGTTTTAAACCGAAATTATAGAATATTCACCTTGTAATCTTGTATTTTGTAGTATCAAGAAAAGATCCATAACCTATCCAAACTTCTCAGACTGATTAAGATGATTTGCATAGTTAATAGCTGTTTATTGCATGAAATAAATATATGAAATAATCAAGCATGAACTTATGCTTAGATTCAGTTATCACTTAGTTTCAGTTTTAGTTTAAGTAGTTAACAACTTTGTAATAGCATTACACGTGAACATGTGTCCTAAGTCCTTGAGATTGAGAAAGTTAGAGAATGATCTATCCTCTTTGTTATTTGTGGCTAGAAGTATATAAAATTAAGTAGTGTATGAAAGAAGTCAATCATTAGAATGATGTATGAATATCATGAATATGCTTATCATTTACAAAGAGAAATATTGTGATTGTGAAAGAATAATATAACTAGTACTGTAGTTTCTTTTATACGGTCATTTGCCTTACTTCATAGTTACTATTTTATTTTATTTGAACACATAAATATTCTTACAAGAGGACACCAAATACATAAGCGCCACACAAACCAATGAGAATTTGAAGAGAAAAAGGAAAAGAAAAAATGAGTAAGGAGCGTAAAAGAAATAACGTGCAGATTAATGTAAGGTAGTGTAATAATAATAATGGGGGAAACGAAAAGGCACAGTCAGAGGAAATCTTTCAGTTAAGGAAGAAACAACCACTTTTTATAAAGAAAGTAAAAGAAGGTTACAGCACGATCGTCCCTGGCTTCTATTCTGAACCATATCTGATAACGTCTCTAGCCACTGTGTCGCACCATCTCTAGGACCCCAACCAGGGAGTCGTGAAGGACCAACAGAAGCCAGCCCTTTGCAGAATTCTTTCATACCACTACACCACGTCATACACTGACTACCTCTCCGCTTCTTCCAACCAATCCCAGCGTCAGCAAATAATGCACGACGTGGGATTCTCTGGGACGACATTCGTAGAACATATCCAAGCCACCGAAGTCGGTGTTTCAAGATGGTGACACCAATTGCATTATCGTCTCTGTGCCCGAACACGCGATGCCGAACCTCTGCATTACTAACACGGTGTTGTCACTGGATGTCAGCAATCCTTCGAAGACAGCGATGATCGAACACAGAGAGTCGTCTAACATCCTCAACTCGGAGAGGCTTTTACTTCATAGTAGTAGTAGATGACAAATTTAGATTTTGAAAAATGCCTATGAGCATTGTTTTTACTTATTTTAGAACGAAAAGAAATAAATCAATGATTTCTCTGTTAGATCTACTAGTATAAACTAAAGTGTTCTCCAGAAAAAAAGGAACAGAATCATAATGTATTCCAAATGATTTTCTTGAGTAAAACAATATAGAGAAAAGTGTAAGATAACATTGAAATGGTATTGCATAGCATAACAACTGACTAAAATAGTTTTAAGAAGTCCTGAAAAAGTTATATTCAAGATATATTACATAATTATTCAAGTAAGCTTTGGAGTAAACTAGTGTGCTAGAAAAGTAATTTTATATTCAAAGATACTGAGTAGATAGTAACTTAATTATCAGGTTTATTAAGTGTGTATTCCTAAGTTACTATCCAAATTATGACAAAAAACTGATCTTATTTATGATTGTCTAACCTAACACTCAATTTATATGATTACACATATATGTTTTGAAAGTGATTTTGTTCATAATGATCATGAAAACCATTTAATTAAATTGTTCAACTAAAATCTTGAATCTTTTCAACTTGATTCATTTTCAATAATTGAGATCATGAGTCAGTTGAAGCTAGATCATCATGAAAAGTCTGGAAGCACTGGATATAGGCAAACTACATCAGTCATGAATTCTTATCTAATGTTCCTTATCATTTATTTAGTTAAAATTATGGTCAATTCATAGTAGAAAATAATATTTAACCTTTTTCTATTATAACCATATGAACAATTCACTAACTGACTCATTCACACTTAACATATAAACAAACTGTGTTGATTTTGCTCATTTCTAGCTTATACTAGTAAACAAAAGATTACAATAAGGTATAGAGACAACCTATAACCCTTGAAAAATTCTATGTAAATATTTAAACATGCATACCCACCCATTTATTAATTAACCTCATGAATATATTTAAGGACTGTTTTGAGTAAAGATTGATGATTCATAATCACCTGGACGCCTTTAATTATTTTATGTTAAGCATGCGTAAAGTTATGCAGTCGAAAAACTATTTACAGTCTATTGTATTTACTTAACGGTGATAAAGTCTATTTATTTCTTGAATTATCATTGTTGACCTACTGGTTTAATTTTGTAATTTATTTATATCTTATGTCTGTAATGAATATGCTATTAATTAAGTTATAAGTTAATTTTAATTAACTTGAGCACTCGCGCGCGAGACTGATGGGTCCTGGGTTCGAATCTCGAGAGGTAGGATCGTGGATGCGCACTGCTAAGGAGTCCCACAGTAGGACGAAACGGTCGTCCAGTGCTTCCAACTTTTCCATGGTGGTCTAGATTCAAGTGAATCATGATATTAACTATTAAAATTAAATACCTGTCATACTACTCAATATACGATATTTATGTAGATGTAATATTTAATTTACATTTAAATACTTGAAATTAACCCTGAAAGTGCATGTCTATTTCTTAATCTTATCCTTTGACGTTGAATTCGGTGTTTCTACTAATCTACTTCACGATATACTTCCAACTTGAACTCTTGGTTAAATACTATCGGATAAATGGTGAATTAGAATTGTTCAGTTTGTTTAACATTCTGAAAACCTACTGAAATCGTATAAATAACCAGCCGGATATCCTTGACGAAGACAAAATTGCTAACAGTCTCGGTCTTGTAATAATATTATTGATATTGTTGGTGCGCTGTTCTTTTAATTACATGGTTGTACAACAACTTATTTATTTTAACTAGTCTCTTGTGTCAAACTTAATTCCTTTACTTTTCATGCTCATTTCAGATATTTTAGTGTAATTATCTCCACAAGCTTCCATTTTTGGTATGCTTTTTCGATTATTATAAATATTAAAGTTTTTTTATATATTTTACCTCTATTATGGTTGATTGATTACTGAGTAGTTACCGATATTATATCTATCTATTCCATCAGTGCTAATTGAATTCTATCAATAAAGCTTTGCCTTGGCCACTAGATTAAGTGACCCAATATCTCGTAAACAACACTCAGATAACAGTTGGTAAAAAACTCTGAACTTAGGTTTCTTACTAGTTGATACCTATCAGCAAATAAGGGCAGGAAGTTGTAAGGATTCTAACCCTTAGACTAGGAAACATATTGAAACTTTATCGACAAAATTCGACCAGCACTATAGACCTGAAAAACATAGTATTCTTTAAACACATTTAAGGTTTAATAGTAGCTCCGATTTTACAAGTATTTGGTTTAGGCATGTGTATTATGTTAATCCGATGCGAAATACACTTATAGCCTTAAACACTGTTTAAGTAGAATAATATGTGCTGCATTATTATTCAACTCGCAACACGATGTTTCAATCATTCAATACCGTTAGTAATGGCTTTCTATATAGGCAAACTACATCAGTCATGAATTCCTAACGAACGTTCCTTATTATATACTGCTTGTATTTTTTAGATATATAGACTGTAAAATTTTATTTCAGCTATCTAAACAAACAACTTGACAATGTTTGCCAATTCTACTACAAGTAATCACAATCGTATTTACATACATGCTGAATACAATCTTGACTTCCAGAATAGGTAAATGATTATCTAACATTTACTGATCTGATGAACAATAAATGCTAGCCAGAACTAAACTTTTTTAGTTTCAATGATTACTTATTATAATAAAAGTGACTAGTCAAATATACAATTCAAGTGATAAAAAGATCTAATCAAACTATATGCATATTATCAAAGGAAATACAAGAGATGAACAATTATAGTGTAATATTAAATTGGTTATATGAATCTATGTCTATATAAAAAAAGACAGAATAATCAACACAAGACAGTTGCGTTGACTAAACTATAGCTGACATCAATACAAGACAAGAATGCTAAACTACAATGACTCACAAAAGTTGATATTTTTATAAAGCTTTTTACAGAATTGACTTTTCACGAAATAAATATTACCTAAGATACTCATTAAAATACCATTTAATGTATTCATTTAACTTTGTTTGATGTTTTGTATCTATTAAAGACTGATCTGTTTGACATAGGTTCATTGAATGACATCGGTATATGAGGAGTATCAAATAATGTACTTTTCTAAGTATTGAAGGATTCACTTAAGGATCTACTTAATTATTTTAAATTTCTTGAAATTAATTCACTTATATAAACAATAATTCATTAGATATTTTCCATCTACAGTTTTTGTACTGACGTGATCACTCACTTCTATACTCAAAGACTAGTCGCATTATTTCCTACGTAAGTAAATATACATTTCCTAACTTTTAGTTGGTAGTCGTTATTAGTAGAGTTAAAAAAAAGCAAAGACTGAGATGAATATCTCCGATGACAGTAAATGTTTGCTGCGTTATTTCATAAGCTGGTTAAAGTTTACATCTGTAACACTGTTAATTGTTATTAATTAATCAATTCATTATGCAATCTTAGTGTCCTGAATTCAATTCTTGATCGAGGTCTTAGGTGAATACCAGTGAGGATTTAAAGAATTTAACAAAACAACTGCACAGTATGTCATGGTTTCCAGCTAATGTCAACCTGTTAAGAAAAGTACTGTCCCAGAAGTGAATTATTACCCACAATCAATCAGCTGAAGTAATATAGAACAGACTTCCATTAAGTCGCTTTCTTCCAGTACATCAAAACATTTGTGTACCACTACTGCTAATTCACTTGTTTTTTGTTATCTGTATAATAAATAGTGGAAACTTTTTGTATTGAAAGAATCGTGACATAATACTATTATTTGATCTTCATATGACTTCGTGAACAACAACAGTAGCTATTAAATGATAATTGGAAAATATCAATTTGGATATTTTGTTAATTATGTATGACGTTTTTTGAAAACGCGGAACATTAAACTTCCTGCTGATAGAGTATTGAATAGAACTTGAAGACTTTATGTATTTTCACGAGATAGATTTTGTCAAAAACATCAGAATTTTCTTGACCTGGTTTGTAGGCACCAGTCTATTCACGATTACGTGTAACTACTACGAGTTTGATCTATGTCTGTATAAATGACTTGACTTTGGGATATTTAATATATCATGAACAAGAAGAGATTGCTTGACTGGTAAGAAAGCATTAGAAATAAATCAGACCAAGACGTTTTGACGAATCTGAAATATATCGGTCATTACCTACATTTCCAACAATCAAACTGTGTGAATAATGTTATGTTATACAAGCTGTACTTGAGCCTGTTACCCCTTATGGAGAAGCATAAACCGCTCACCAACATCCTCCATCCAACTCTGTCATGGGAAATCCTTTCCAGTTCTTTGCAGTTGCTATCAATATCTGCTTCCAACTCTCGACGTAATGCGTTCTTTGGCTTCCCTCTTTCTCGTTCCCCTTCAGAATTCCAAGTTAGGGCTTGCCTCGTGATGCAGTTTGATGATTTCCTCAATGTGTGTTTTATTCACTTCTAACGTCTTTTCCTAATTTCTTCTTCAACTATAAGCTGGTTTGTTCTCTCCCACATCAGGCTGTTGCTGATGGTTTCCGGCAAACGGACATTTAGTATCTTACGTAGACAATTGTTTATAAATACCTGCACATTTTTGATGATGATTGTGGTAGTTCTCGAAGTTTTAGCTCCATACAGTAGAACTGTCTTGACGTTCGTATTAAATATTCTGACTTTGATATCGGTTAACAGTTGTTTTGAGTTCCATATGTTCTTCAACTGTAGGAATGTTCTTAATGTTTTGCATATATAAAATTTTTTTAACTCATTCATCAGTTATAAATATCGTGAATTAAATTGCATGAAATATGTTTATCATTATTTGAGTTTTTCTCATTATTTAACCACAACAGTCCATAAAACAGAAGTGTACCACTTGTATAATGTTTATTCCATGGTCAGTACTTTTTCACATATTAAGCCATGATCTTGGTCTTTCAGAATAGAAATGATACCTTGTAATTAATTGCGTCAATTCAGAAAATTTAACACTAAAAACTTCAAATATCGGTAACTACGACAGATAACAATCATGGTCCAACATAAAAGCATCATTTAAAATATTGATTTGAATAAGTGAAAAAGCGACCTATATATAATTCTTGTAACTTTTAAACAACTAATCAATGATTTCCATAAAATAGATTTCTATAAATCATAAGAAAACTTGTTCATCATTATTCACTGTTACGTTAAAATTATGTTCAATTTTAAATCTGATATTCATTTATTTTTTTAGCTTAAACAAACAAAAAAATGGTGATAATGATAAATACATGCATTTTGTACACTTAATAAATGTTTTTCCAAGATGACAAGCTTCCCGTCTCTTTAAAAAAAATAAGATCACTGATTTGATGGTAAATAATCAGTTCATCATCATCATCATCATCATCATCATCATCATCATCATCATCATCATCATCATCATCATCATCATCATCATCATCATCATCATCATCATCATCATCATCATCATCATCATCATCATCATCATCATCATCATCATCATCATCATCATCATCATCATCATCATCATCATCATCATCATCATCATCATCATCATCATCATCATCATCATCATCATCATCATCATCATCATCATCATCATCATCATCATCATCATCATCATCATCATCATCATCATCATCATCATCATCATCATCATCATCATCATCATCATCATCATCATCATCATCATCATCATCATCATCATCATCATCATCATCATCATCATCATCATCATCATCATCATCATCATCATCATCATCATCATCATCATCATCATCATCATCATCATCATCATCATCATCATCATCATCATCATCATCATCATCATCATCATCATCATCATCATCATCATCATCATCATCATCATCATCATCATCATCATCATCATCATCATCATCATCATCATCATCATCATCATCATCATCATCATCATCATCATCATCATCATCATCATCATCATCATCATCATCATCATCATCATCATCATCATCATCATCATCATCATCATCATCATCATCATCATCATCATCATCATCATCATCATCATCATCATCATCATCATCATCATCATCATCATCATCATCATCATCATCATCATCATCATCATCATCATCATCATCATCATCATCATCATCATCATCATCATCATCATCATCATCATCATCATCATCATCATCATCATCATCATCATCATCATCATCATCATCATCATCATCATCATCATCATCATCATCATCATCATCATCATCATCATCATCATCATCATCATCATCATCATCATCATCATCATCATCATCATCATCATCATCATCATCATCATCATCATCATCATCATCATCATCATCATCATCATCATCATCATCATCATCATCATCATCATCATCATCATCATCATCATCATCATCATCATCATCATCATATTCAGTAGTTGTGATTTGTGTTATTATCTTATGAGAAATACCGGATAGAACATTTAGTAAAGTAATTTTAAAAATGTTAAGAAAAGTAGAAAAAAGAGGAAAACGTATCCAAAAACGTGGAAAATAAACAAACAATCGACATTGAAAGCACATGAGAATAAATCTGGATTTTCACTGATTGTCTAATGTAAGTTGATTTGTGATATTGATAATAATTAACAATGTCCATCAACTCTTATACTGAAAATCAATGGAATAACTACAACAACAATGTTTGATCAGCTTTTCTTTTCTTTCTACACTTTCTTTTTTTAAAAAAAGACATATTTCAACAATCTTGACTGAACGGAAGATAAGTTAATCTTTAATTTAGTAGCAGAGGTAATACTGATACCACTATTTATGATACTAATAAGTAAACAATAAATAATTTTGACAAATATGTTAGTTTGTAAACTCCCATAAGTACCCAAGTGATTATTCCAATAAGATTAACGTTCAGAATGAATCATTTTATTTGATAAAACAACTGATCATAAGATAATAGTTAAGAAAATTAACTGATCAACTAAATATGTGATCATAATTCCTGATCAACTAAGTTTAATTCCCATCAGTTGTTAAAGTATTTGGTTACTTGAGTATTTAAATTATATTGATTCAACTTAAAATCATGGTACAACCTCGTACAGTTTCCGTTATTTATAAATATAATCAAAGCGAATAAAATGAATAAATAAGATGTGAATTCATTTGTTGAATAAGTCCTCTTCGTTTGATTACGGTCTGAAAACAATATTAACACTTATTTTAAAACAGATGTAAATACATAACTTCATAATGTTAGAAAGTTCAACCACTAGAAGAAAGAGAAAGGGAGATGGTAAGCAAAAATGACACCTGTCCTCACTTGGAATTCCCCTGTCATCTGTCCTCCATGTACTACTTCGCACTGTAGTCCTTCGTACGAATTCCGGATGGTGTTGAGGATTTTATCAGCTAATCACTCCATAGTGTCAAAGAGGATTCCATGAGGTTCTGCCAACGCTATCAAATACCATCTCATAATCAAGGAAGTTGATGTATGGCGACAAGTTGTTCAGCTATGATCCGTAGTGTTGAAATTTGGTTTGTGCACTACCCATCCTTACGAAATCCGACCTGTTGATTTCGAAGTTGGGCATCTACTGAGTCTTTCATCATGTTCATCAACACTCTGTCAAAAACTTTTCCTGATACTGATAATAGTATGATGCCTCTGTTGTTTTCGCACTTGCTGAGATCTGCTTTGATTTATACGTTAGTGGGAAATCCATATTTCCATTCTGTCAAAGTTTGTTCTTTTTCCTAAGTCTTTCCGAATAGAACGTGGAGCATAATTGTAGTTACTTCTATGTTTGACTTCAGTGCTTCAGCCGGTATACCGTCAGGTCCTGCTGCTTTCCCACTTTTTGATTTCTTTGATGGCCATCCTGACTTCGTCAGTCGTTGGTGAAATGACATCTATAGGAAGGTCTGTGTGTGCTGCTTCGATGTCCGGTGGATTCAATGGAACTGACCTATGCAAGAGTTCCAAAAAGTGTTCTATCCATCTGTTCCTCTGTTGTTGAATCTCAGTGAGTGGTTTGCCTTCTTTGTTTTTGACTAATTGTTTTGGTTTACTATATTTCTCTGCTAGTTTCTTCGTCGTGCCATATGGTTTTTTCGCATTTCTTTCCTTTGCACTACTTTCCGTTGTCGTCAATAGGTCTTCTATGTATTCCCACTTGCTGACTTTAATGCTCTTCTCCAGTAGCTTGTCTGATTCTATGTATTCATATTTGTGACTTGACATACTCTGCTCGTGTTCGGCTGTCATTAAATGATGTCTTCTTGTTCGTCCGTTTTTGGGTCATTTTCAGGGTTTCGATAGAAATCCACTGCTTCCGATGATGCTTCTTGAGGCCCAGAATCTCCTGACACGTTGAAGTTAGTGCTTCTTTATTCCCATTCCATTTGTCCTCCATAGTAGTTTCTTCCTCTTTCAGTAGATCCTGTAGGTCTTGGAGCCTGTTGTTGAGTTATCTTGAATTCGTTGAGTGTGTCAGTATGTATAAGGAAGGCTGTATTGAACCTTTTGAATGCTGTTTCTTTAGTCGTCCGGTGCTTCTTCAGCTTCGATTTCATCTCGGCAACCACAAGGTAGTGATGATCTGAAGCTATGTTACCTCCTCTTCTTGTTCTCACATCATCTATTGTCCTTCTGAATGTCGTAGTGATACAAATATGGTCAATCTGGTTCTCCGTGGAGTGATCCGGTTAGAGGTATGTAGCATTGTTTATGCGTTTGTGGGAGAATATTATGACACCTATAGCTATTTTGTTGAGTGAACATAAGTTCACGAATCTCTAACCATTGTCGGTCACTCCTCTTAATCCACGTCATCCCATGGCATCTTCATAACCAGTGTTGTCCATTCCCACTTTAGTGTTTAGTTCTCCCATCATGATAGTCGAGTCTTTTCCTGCCCAATTCCCTACGATCTACTGCAGCCTCTTGTGAAACTGATATTTATCCTCTTGACTGCTATCGTTGGTGAGTGCACAGCAACGGAAACAATGATTGCAATCTCCTCCTTCCCTATTTTGAGTAATTCTTTGATGATTTGGATCCATGAAATTTCCGTCTTATATGTGCTTTTCTGGCCCCTTTGGACAGCAATGAGCGTGTAAAGCACTTTATTCTTCGTGACCAGAGTACAGCAGCATCTCTCTTGAATCTAATATTTTCTGTTTAGTTTAGATCCAATGAGTAATACTTATTCCGAGCACCTCTAATTTGTATCTTCTCGTTTTCTTAATCAGTTGATTAGCCCTCCCGGTCTTCATCATTGGGTTAGAATTCGATAAACTACATTACCAACTGCAGTGGATTTACCTTAAATAGCAATGATCGTTTATCTCCGTCAACGAAGACTAACCCACTCTTGATACTCCTAAACCTCAACATTCATGACTTTCCACAATAATTTCGAGCATTCATTCCAAAAACATTTGACGAATCAATTCACTTTCCATTGTAAATGCTGATAACCTAGTTTTTCCCATTTTTTTTTCAAATATAAATTAAATAAAATATGTTTGTATAAATAAAGTTTTCATTGGATCCATTCAATAAATTTAACAGACAAATACATAATTTATATTGCCCATAATGTTTACTTTAAAACTAAGCTGTTGAAAATGATCATTATAATATTGTTGATAAGTAGCATAATAAAAGTTGAAAATTTCCTTCTTGTCCACCTTTTTTTTCTCCTATCTTTTCAAATTACAGAATTGGCGTCCAAAGGACAATTTCTAATCTTAACGTATATATCCCCATAACTAGTACAATCCAATTTTGTTTACTTAAATAAGTAAATCATAAAATTGTATTCAACTGTGATTTTCAATTAAATTGACATTAGAATTAATCATGTACAAAAACAACTACCTAATACATCATTGAATCTAATTACAATATTAATTAATATACAAGCTAATGTACAAATGTAAACATTTATAATCAAATCTAATGGTTTTCTCTCTATTTTTCTATATTTCATAGACTATTAAAGAGATTTGAGTATAAACCTTTGTTCATTTTCATTATTGATTGATCACTGAATAATGACCAATGTCATATATGTCAAGTTCATCTTAATGCTAGTCGAATTTTCTTAATCAAGTTGCAATGTGAACACTAGTCTAATTGGCTCGAAATCACATGCACTAAGTTGAAATTCAGGGTATTGGTTGAAGGTGGTTTACAAGAAACTCTAGACCTAGGTATTGTGCTATTGGACACCTCTTAGCAAGGTTTATCTTTATTAATGAGGAAAATGATACTCTCTGGCAGCCCATATAGCTCAGTGGTAACGTTTCTGATTGTGAAGTTGTTGACAAAAGATATAATCCAACGTAGAGAATCAGTTTACTCAAGATTACAGGTATATCTGGCTGACAGGTATCGAATAGCACAAAGCCTATGTCCAGGGTTTCCTGTGAACTAGCTTCATACACCGCCTCACGTTTGTTCACTTTAGTAGAGGATTACATCCCATTGCAATGTTTAATTTTTTGACAGTTAACTTGTACACATAGATTTAATTATTTGATGGTTAAGATTACTGATAAAATCCTGAATTAAAATGTAGTACCCGTGAAGTGTATTTCACATATTCGAAGGAGCCACATCCTCGATAATGACTTTTATCTCTGCAGAATAAACTAAAAGAACTTCCCAATTTTTTGACACAAGTACACTACTCAAGAATGAGTCAATATGGTAAAAAACATTTTAGGGTAGATGTTAGAACAAACGTAATTAATTGTATTTGAACATTATGACAACCTCAAATAATGTTAATTGGAAAAGAATAAGATGAAAGTTAAATGAAGGTAAATGGTTTACAAAACGTTTTTAAGTTAACTGACATCACCAGGTAATACACTGTAAATAAGTTAGTGTTGAATGGCTATTTACTCAAAATAGTCTTCGTCACTAACGCTGATACTATAATTACTTTTATCCTTTTACTGTTCATCGTGTTAATTTGACGTCATTGCTCTAAATGGAGGCACATTTATTTCAGGTTCTACTTTACTTATGACTAACTAATTCTAATTTCCGCCAGCTCATGATTTAGCAAGAAATTCAATGCAACTAATTGATAACCATCGCACCTCACTTCTTAAGCAAACGTCACACCCAATGACCTCTCACTGGAACTCCAGACGTTCATTTTAATGTACGTCACCAGTAAGGATGTGATTTTTATCAAAGTAAGAAATTTTAGAACATTAACTCAACTTCAAGATAGTTTTCACTATAGACCGTTCAATAATATCTGGTTTTCAATAATTCTTTGTTTAATATCGCTTTGTGATAAAATCTACTGCCTAAAATCTGACTAGTGAACAGATAGAGAAGCTCTAAAGCTCCTTAATTTCTTCCACACCTTTTCACTAATTATATAAATATATAAAAACAGAATATTTTTTCTAATTAAT